GAGTGGGAGGGGCTTCCTTCCAGGGGTGGAGGGAGACCCTCTCCACCTGGTCCCACAGGCGGCCCCAAACCTGGGCTCGGGTGTCCACTGGTGGGCATCTGCCTCGGAGACGGGGAGACACAGCCCGGTCCCAGGCCTGGAGAGGGGTCCCCTGAGGCTGCCGCTTCGGCTCCACCCCCACAGAGGGAGGTGGGGACAAGGGAGGGAGGTGGCCCAGCCCTGGCCTGGGCGGGAGGGGCTCACACACTCCCTTTTCCATGCTGGGAAGAGGCGGCCTGGGCATCCAGTCTGGCAGGGGAGGGTTTCACCTGGACGCACCCCGGTGCTGCTCTGTGAAGAGCTGGCACCCTTAGTTCAGTGTCTGAATGGACCCCCCCCCCCCCCCCCCTCACTTATTCCCCACGTGCTGGGACCTTTATTTGCCACAACCTCTGGCCGTGTTTGCAGGCGAGTACGTTCCCTCCTGAGCACCCGTGCCTCACGCAGGGACTGGCATGTCTGGGCGGCAGCACGTACTTCTCGCCGAGGGCTTATCCGTCCGCCCCCGACGTCATCAGATTCAGCTTCTCTGTGATCCATGATGTGAAACAAGGTGAAGCTACCACGTCTCTCTGACTCGCTTGCTGTAGGAGTGCCCTTTGCTTCACAGAAAAAAGACTGTGTGAGCACGCACAAGTCTGTGTGTGCCTATGTGCGTGCATGACTGCACGTGCACGCAGTGTGTGTACATGCATGAGTGTGTGCATGTGCCTGTGTGCGTGCATGATTGCACGTGCACGCAGTGTGTGTACATGCATGAGTGTGTGCATGTGCCTGTGTGCGTGCATGATTGCACGTGCACGCAGTGTGTGTACATGCATGAGTGTGTGCATGTGCCTGTGTGTGCATGACTGCACGTGCACGCAGTGTGTGTACATGCATGAGTGTGTGCATGTGCCTGTGTGTGTGCATGACTGCACGTGCACGCAGTGTGTGTACATGCATGAGTGTGTGCATGTGCCTGTGTGCGTGCATGATTGCACGTGCACGCAGTGTGTGTACATGCATGAGTGTGTGCATGTGCCTGTGTGCGTGCATGATTGCACGTGCACGCAGTGTGTGTACATGCGTGAGTGTGTGCATGTGCCTGTGTGTGTGCATGCGCACCATGGACTGTGGGAGGCTGGGGTGGAAGCTCTGTCCACGGGAAGCAGTGTGCACATCTCAGCGAGCCTGGTGGCATCTGGCATTCGGATTCACCTGAGGCAGCAGTGACGGCACCATCTCAGGGGGAGGGTTCTGGCCCCTCTGCTCACTGACTCTGCGTGGCTGCGTCTCCTCTTCACGGAGCCGTGTCTGTGTCGCTAGCACACTTTCCGCCCGGACGCAGGGCTTGTGTGTGAGTCTGACTCTTGCTGCACTCAGCTGGTGAAACTGTGTGTGTTTGCGTGTGTGTGTGTGTGTGTGTGTGTGTGTGTGTGCAGTGTGCACACCGGCTGGGGCGCCTCGTGTGCTGGGACAAGTGTTCTCCACACGAGCAGGGATCTCGGGGCTCTGG